GATTGTTACGTTGTTAATGCGCGAGTCTGTCTGCAGTGGCTTTGTTTTCATTTGATTCATTCGATTATTACGTTGTTAATGCGCGAGTCTGTCTGCAGTTGCTTTTTTTTCATTTGATTATTTCGATTATTACGTTGTTAATGCGCGAGTCTGTCTGCAGTGGGTTTGTTTCCATTTGATTCTTTAGATTGTTACGTTGTCAATGCGCGAGTCTGTCTGCAGTGGCTTTGTTTTCATTTGATTCTTTCGATTGTTACGTTGTTAATGCGCGCGTTTGTCTACAGTTGCTTTGTTTCCATTTGATTCTTTCGATTGTTAATAGGTAATAAGATGGTTTCTCGTTCAATTTGGATTAATTTGCACTCGTTTGTTTTTCAAAGAGCCAAATTGCGGCCTCTTTGAAAGACAAACTCGTGCAAATTAATTCCAAATTGAACTCGAAACTATCTTATTACCTATACTAATGTGCGCGTCTGTCTGCAGTGGGTTAGTCCAGAACTGGATCCTCTTTTATCCTTGCTCGCGCGGAGTTGAAAACTATTATTTTGAATCAGCGTTCTCAACGGTCACGATAAAAGAGGGTCCAGAGAAACTTGTCAGCGCATGCGCCAGTTTCACTCTGTTTTCGGGGTGAATACATTGAGTACCCTATAGTTAATCTTCCAGCCGCTCGCGCTCAAGAAATTTCTTGGGATCATTTTGTGAAGAATCACTGCCGGTTTATTAGATCAGTTCAAGTTATTAATGCATTGAAATTAGTCTAGATGCAAGAACAAATACAGATTATACAAATATAACTGACACGAAAAATTCAGTGATGAGCTTCATCGTCCTGTCGGTACTAAAAAGTTGCATGAGCGTAACTTATGAACACAAAATACCACATCTCTTTTTCAAGTAAGTTAAGCTAAGTACTTATTTCTTTATCTGATAATTATATTAGATTTTGAGAAAGATAACATGTAATCTTAATCAGTATAAAATTTTGGATGACTTTTTTGCATTCTTTTCTCATATGCCAGTGCTAATCCAGATGCCAAACAGAGAAAGAGCTAAAAGTTAGTGCTGATCAAACTATTCAGCTTTTGTTTAATTCGTACCTTTACAGAGGTTGTTTCTTGAACTGGAACAGCTGCAAATGTTCTGAGATAAGTCTTAATTGTTTTTGTTGTGGTATCGATAGATAATTTAATAACTTTTTGCTTTTTGCTTTTTGCTTTCGAGTCTTCAACAGGGCAGTAAGCTTATTGTTTTGTAATTTTCTGATCATTAGAAAATAAAAACATTTTCAAAAGTCCAGTGTACTTATGATTTGAGTCCATTTTGTTGCTTCTTCTATCCAGTGAAGATCGTTGGTCTTCAGAATATCCACACTGCTCGGCCTGCTCCAGTCGACAAAATGTCCAGAAAATCATTGTTTTGAAAGCTTTTCCTACATTACACAAGTGACCATCAGAATTTCGTTGTTGACGAAGGTCATACTATGCATCCTTCTTTTGGGCTATACTTTGTCTCAGAATTGACTTCAAAACGTTGAAAAGGCTTAGTTCTGTTGCCTCTTGAAGAAATCTTAAAAAACTTACTGCATCTATAGCTGTTGGGTGTGCAAACGCGTCTCTGAAATTGGCGGGAATGTTCTTTCAGCGTTTTATTGTTTGTTTGTTCCACTTGTATTCAGTTGTAAATTGTTTTATTTTTCTGGAAAGCGATTTATCTGTTATTTATTTTAGCTTTTTGTTTTTATTTCAAATTATCCTAATATAAAGTAGATTCAAAGTCATTGTTTGGTCTCCCTGTAGCTGAGAACGGTTCTCTTGATCGATCGTCATTGGCTGATGTAGCGCATGCGCTGACAAATTTCTCTGGACCCACTTTTCTCAATTTTCTGTAGCACGCGCTTTGGATTTTTATTTACATAGAATATTATCTATAGTAATTGAGAAAAGAGGGTCCAGTTCTGGACTAGCCGTGGGTATGTTTTCATTTGATTCTTTCGATAGTTACGTGTTAAATGCGCGCGTCTGTCTGTCTGCGGTGGCGTTTTTTCTATTATTAAAGTTTTTCTCATTATTTTCTATTGTTCTTTCATGCAACATGGGAGTCTTTCGTTGATGTTTTGAATCTGATGGGAATGATTGAAAGCAATCAATTGGATGCTGGGGTTAAGGGAGGGAGGATGGATCTTGTGGAGAAACGAGTGATAATTCTCGATAGTGTGGCTATGGCGAGCTGACTTTCACTCAGTATTTCAATTGTATTGTAGTCGTTATTCTATCTATGATTTACCATCATCTTTTTCTCGTGGATCACGACTGCATTAGGAATCTTTTGTTAAGTGTCCACTTTTGTATAGAAAAATTAACACAATGTTTTATTAGGCGCGTGAAGAAGACCTTACTGACGAGTACAAACAAGAAAGAGATGCTTTAGTAAACAAGGTCCACAAAGGACTGAAACCAAAAGGCAAAAATGGTTGGTAATATTGGATGGTGTTATCTTATCTCCCAGGAGCCGGTTCCAGATGTTTACGGACTGTTATGTATTTTATTTTTTTTTTCGGTCCAGTATCCTAGTCATTCGCGCGTTGTGACTGGCTAGCGCGCGGTCCGGTTTTTCACGATCTGCCCGGTCCGACGGTATCCTGCAGCTAGGCTGCGACCAAAGTTGCATAAAATACAACTAAAAAAAATAAAAATGTTATTTACCGGCTATAGTTCAGTCCGTATAGGAAAACACTGCCCTTGGATTTTATGAATGGACCTCGCTGCGCTCGTTCCGTACTGTCAACGACCTCGGGCAGTGTTTTCCTATACGGACTTCCCAGCCGGTAAATAACATATATATATGTTTGTAGGTTCTCCTATTACTGGTCCGGAATTCGCGTCGTTGCTGGAGATTTTGGTTGAGGCCGCTAACGAGGGATCTCTGGCTCAGGTAAGCTATATATATATTCAGCACTAAATACACCTAACTTTAAAAGTGTAGTCAAACAGGTGCACCAATAAAGCACAGACTGAACGTGAACACATAAATATTTTATTCATTTAACTTAAAAAAGTCACGAAGTATTTTAGAATCCAAGACTAAGATTAAAAAGAGATTCTGATTTATGCAGGTAATCAATGGTTTTCTTGATATTTCCTCGAGTTGTGAAAAATTCTAAGTTATTATTATTTGCTTTTCACTCCTGCACTGATAACGCAGCACATTGCAAACATTTTAGTGTGAAAAACTACATACCTACTAGATAGTATTCAACACTGTTTTACACCGTCCAAAAAAGTGAATCTTAAGAGAAATGTGTAAAGCGTTTGTGAAAGGCTTTAGATAAAATAAAGGAATTCGCATTCAGCGAAATTTATCTTTTTATTATTTTTATTGTTGTAGTGTTTGCACCTTTTCATTTGGGATATCTGTCACGATTTTTTTATATCATTCAGATCCCCAGCAGGTGGAACATCTTCATAGAAAAGCTCGAGAAGACAGCTAAGGAAGATTGCTTGTCATTTTATGAAGGAGAAATGGCTTTACTGCACAAGAAGTATGACAATGGTAAGATCGGTCGTAGTCGTAAGTGCGCTAGAGAGAATACCAAGCTTCGTGTTATTGTTTGGTTGCAATCATTCTTAGGCTGTCATGAAGCCAGTTTGCTCGGTTGAACGGGATGATTTCTTTTGTTTTGTTTCTCTTAGGGAAATAATATCGAAGAAACCAGACCATTGAACCAACTTTCAACAATTCTGAGTCGATATATCAAGCGATGTGAAAACGTTGGTTCCTTAGTTGACGTCATACTTGTCTCGACTCAGGCCCTTATGATAAGTCGCAGCCATTTCAGAATTATCGAAAATTTCATAACTTTAACGTTTCACAAAAAACGAGCTTTTAACCGACTGAAGACACGAAAAAACATTTTGTTTTTCAATGGTGGTTTTTCTCGTATTTGGAAAAAAATTAGTTCAGTTGAACTTTAGCAATTGAACTATTTCATTACGACGTCACACCAAAGCATTCTTTTGTTTTATGGTCACCCGAGAGGACCAGAGTGATTGCATATCAAATAATGTGCATGAGCAATCTTTAAAACATATGTCAAAACATGATACACCGAAGTTCTTTCTTTGAAGAGAATAAAATTTGAGCATCTTTTCCCGGTGTAAACATACTGTGACGTCATGGTGAAATGGACAATGTATAGGTAATTTCGCAAAAATACGTTGTTGCTAAAATACATTTAAGGCACATTTTATCAAACACACTACATGAACAACACTGTGCTTGTTTCTAGGTCCCATTCCACAACATGAATTACAGGTAATATTAATGATATCTACGAATAATGGAATGATTGATATTGTGCTAGAGGAAACAAACAAAAAACATATTATTACATACGTATAATTTTCTAGTTTTTTTTGGGTGATCCTTGAATTGTATCCCAGTATGTACAGATATTGTGTAGTTTTCAGTTCTGTTGCGTATCGTATTGTTACACACGAGTTAAGATAGATTTCTACCAATTTAAATTTGATTATCGTGTTCTATTACTCGTCTATTATAACTGACCAACGAGTCGCTTATCAACATGTATGTCCAAACATTTGTTATTCATCAGGACTGGCACCTTGTAGCAGTAAAAAAATCTACCAAGTTATTGACCCACTTGTTATTTGGGTAAGTAATGGCCATTCTTTCATAAGGCTATTGGTTCATCTACATATATCCATTCAGTCAGCTTGTTTGCTGTACAATTCTTTCAGAACTCTAAGGGTTAATAATCTTAATTACTATATCATTTCAAAGACACGCTTTCATTTCAAGATGTCAGTGAAAATGTAAATGTAGTGTGGGGTTCCTGTGGAACACGTCCCCGGGAATTGTGTGTGGGGTTCACCCTTGTGTTTTGGGCTTAGAACACGTTCAGTGGAGCGTCAGTGCGGAGTCAGCGTGTTTGATGCAAGACAAGTCGGCGCGAAGCAAGAACCCCAAAGAGATCAGTCTGCAAGGACGACCCGACGAGAAGGCTTCATGTAAACCTATATTGTAGAGACTGTGAACAAATAAAAGTCAAGTCTACATAAAAGACTGCGATTGATCAATTGCAGTAAAATCTCGCGTGGAAGAATCTAAACTTTAAGAAACCTTTGGACTGAAAATTTCATTTCAAAAGCACCCTTCAAGCCAGAAGAATTTCAGCCTGAAAAGTCAATGTATTTGATTTTCCTGTAAACAATAAGGTGTGCTACAATCTGGGTTGGAAAAAAACTAGGTTCTTACGCAGAGTTTTACAATTTTAAGAGAATGACATTTTCATATTCTGCTCGAGCACGTTTACCAAAAGATTTGATCCTAATAAAACCTCCTCCCATTTTATTTCAACATGCAAATAATTGCTTTGGAAAAAAATTCTCGTGCCATAATTGTATCAACATATTCCATAGACTTGGTCACGTGGTCCAGGAATCGTCACGTGGTTTGTCAATGAAGATTGATGAGAGCTTTGAGAAAGCCCAGGACATGAATACGAAGAAAACCCTGCTGATGTGTAGTGATGTCCAACGAAGCATCGAGGTAGGTCTTGTTGTTTTTAGAATTTGTTTTCGATTTTATTAATATGCGTCGACGAAAAAGTAGAACAAATTAAATTAATTTTGAGCTTTACAAGAGGTCTGACCTTAAACAGCTTCTTTTATATCCCTTCATACAAGATTCTGAACAAGGCAATTTACATATTTTTCCGAGTCTTAATGGCGAATAATTAAGATGATTGAGCCTATTGGTATGGTATCAACGTGAGCTTCATTTATAAAGCGTGCTTGGGTTAGGGACTGTGCAATAATTACCAGGAGGGGGGGGGGGGCGTAAAACCAGATTTCTTATGCAGAAAATTAATTAGAAGCACAAGAAAATAGCTCATCTGGATCTAAGTGTAAAGACAAAATCTTTCAGGAGGAGCTGACAAGCAAATGTGGTGCCCTTGCTTCTTTCAAATAATTTTGTTCCTTGCAAAGGTTTTTAAGGTCCAAAAAGGCTTATGTAACGTTTTTATGGTCAAAAACGACTTTGATATTACTTGTGCTTGTTATGTCTAATAAATCATCTATATGTTTTTCAGCTTCTACATCTTCAATTTATGTGAAAACTACATTCTCAATTCATATATTGGTCAATTTCAATCACACATCAACGAGTCTTTGAATTTAGATTTCCATTAGTCAGGCGCGTAGCGTGGACTTTTTATGCACATGTCAGGGACCGCGACATATATTTTGGATCTGGGGGTCTAAGGAACGCCAAAGGCGGGAGTATTAAGGGAGTCTGGTCCTCCCCCAGAAAAAAATGTGAAAGAAATAACTCTTGGAAATGCGATTTCCAACATTTTGAGAGACATCGAAAATTATGAAAATTTTGAATGAAACTTAAGGCCCCCCTCTGTTAATAGGTAATTTTACTTTGAGCCCCCCTATCTTGCCATCAATTTTATGTAATGCCCCCCCTCTGGTTTTACGGCTCCCCCTCCTGGTAATTATTGCACGTGCACAGTCCCTTATATTTGAAATGATAAAAATTAAAAAAAGTCTTTTTGTAGAAAAATGGTGGAAACTAGCGATAAACTAGTGTGAGCTGCGTCGGTTTTTCTAAAGAAACAGTTATGTAAAAAGATAAATTTTAACACCGTAAAAAAGTAGTGAAACAACTTACTGGCTTTTCGGACGTTAATACTTGGTGGGAGGAGTCGGAGTAAAGACATGACACTGGACCAAGTATGAGTTTATATAATGAAAGGAGAAAAACAAATTTGGTGATCAAAACGGTGATCATTGAAATTTCAAATTGACACCCCTTGTTTTTTTTATTTCTATTCTGTGGAAGTCTCTGCAGATCGAGCCCCTTTTCGATATCCAGTACTGAAACAAACATTCCTCAGTTTGAAGGCCGATTAGCATCATGTTAAGACAGTGGTGGCAAGTCACTCGCACCTATGAGAAAAATATTGTACCGATTGAATTCTTTGAAGTTTAAGCTTGGGACGTGATCTTTTTCCAACTTCGTCAGTTCAAAGATACCAAAATCCACGTCTGATTTCTTCCAGAACAGTGTCTTTGCCGACTAGTCGAGCTTACGGATGCAGAAGTGTCGCAGCAAATGAATCGTAAAAACATTTAAAAACGCTTTTTTGGCGAATATGACTGCTGACTAATCTATCGAACTCTGCTTCAAATTCGGGACAATATGAATCTTCAATAGTGTGATTGACAGCTCTTCTTCGATGTGATTAACAATACGTCTTTGATGATTCCTTGCTCGATCTGATCTTTAATCACAGGATGGTCCAATCGTCTCTAGTCGACCTGTTGTAGAGAGCAGTCTTCTCTTGTCCTTGTTTGTGGGTAAGTTGATGTGATCAACTTTCAGGGTAGACGGGCACTATAACGACTTGATTCAGCTGTAACAAGATTTTAAAACTCTCATCGCCAAGATGGCACGTGACATTTTTTTCCCTTGATTCCTACGTAATAGAGTACCGAAGTGTGACGTCACAAAAATGCTTTTTTTTCGAATTTTTCGGATTCGTTGAAATATCTTGTAGGGCATAGTAAAGTAGCTTTCTGCCAAATTTATGAACCACAGCAAATTTACAAGCGTTTGTATGTGTTCATCCAACCTTAAAATCGCTCGTATCTCCGCTATTAATGCCACTAAGACACTCAAATTTAGCAAGAATGCATTGAAAATGATGCACGTTCAGAATATGGATATATTTTTAGCCGTAGCTCACGCTGAAATTTGAGTCCTGGCGCGTATTTAGCTTCTACATTGTCTGCATTGTCAGGTTTGGAAGGAGGAATTTGTAAAAAATGTCCCACCCCCTAAGGAAAGATCAAAAGAGTTGGCAGAGTTAAGATGTCGAGGCGGGCTAGAACTTGTGTTAAATGTAGGCTTCATGGCAAATCGAGGTTATTGAAAGGGCAAAAAAACAATTGCCCTATGTGTGTACATATGAAATAAGAAATAGTTTGATCACATAACATTCCAAATAAATACGGATTGCGATAAAGTTATGCAACTGTCAAGTCTCTTGTGCATTACCCTTTGCTTTCATGAATTGTTCTGGTTCAGTGATATTTACTGTTAGTCATTTTTTTATTAGTCACCTATTTAAAAATAGATGCTAATGGTTAGAGTGGTTTTCATTAACCCGTGAAACACACTTTAGCGTATTTATCGCTATTACACTTTGGCTCTTTTGTTTTTTAATGTCTCTTCGCGACTATTACGATCTATTACACTCTAATTATTAAGCTCGACGAATTAAGATCGACGTACAACTGAGTTCAGCCTAAGACTGGTCTTATGCGAAATGCTACACTACATTGATGCAAAAGTAAGGCAAATGTAGATAGAAATGCCGATACGCCGGAACTGCCGCCGGTCGGTAGAAAATCATTGGATTTGAGTCCCATTCTCTGAGCTGGCTGATGTGCTGTGGGCTCCACGTCTTGTACTGAAAAAAAAAAGTGAAATGTGAAGAAAAGCCCTGGTATGGTTCTGTTGTGTTTAGTCGTTGAACTAGAACCCTTTTTATTAACATTTTGCCTTAATAAATACTCTTAGCGGTCCCTTGAGAGGGAACACAGTACAATACGATGATATACTATCTAATGAATTTACTACATCACCCTCCCCCCTGATTTATAAGAAGTCCGCCCCGGACTGAAAAATGAAGTTTCTCTTTTTTTTTTTTTTGCTTATTTTTTTCAATGTTTTTTTTCCTTTTGTCTTCATCTGGGTTTTTTTTGCTTGTTTTTTT